CCAATTCAAAGGCATCTAACGCATCAACCTGTCCAGAACCAACTCCAGCTGCTAACTCACTGGCCCTAATCCTAGGATTATCTGGAAATTATTTCTAAAAATATGGTTGAAAAATCTCATTATTGTTAATATAAAAAATAATTGTGCTCTACTCAGCATTTTAAGAAAAGTGGATCAGACTTAAGAAAGTAGACCAGATTTAAGAAAGTGGACAAGATGAAGGCAAGGGTAGATATGCATTCATTCCTTGCACAACCAAAAGAAGAAGAACAACCAATTTAAAAACAAAAAACAACTAGAACTGCCAGAAAATCAAACTGTATGGAGGTCCAATGACCAAGGAATTAAAAAAGAAACCCTTATCCAGACCGTTAGGAGGGGCGGAGATGGGCAGCTGGGGTAGAGAGGACATGCAGCAAGGCAGCTGCTGGTGGACTGGGCAGTCCCACATTTCCGTGCAGATAAGCTGGGAGGAGCAACTGGGAAGAAGAGACAGACCATGCAATCCAGGGTTCCAGGGCGGGGAAATATAGCCTCAAAACTTCTGGCTGTTAAAACCTGTGCAGGTTGCAGCACTGGGAGAAACTCCCAGTCTCATAATAGAGTCCACTGGAGGGACCCACAGGGTCCTAGAACATACACAAACCCACTCACCCGCAAATCAGCACCAGAAGGGCCCAATTTGCATATGTGGGGGTTGGAAGATTGGGGAGTGACTAAAAACCAGCCAAGAGCCCAGCAGGCAACATTGTTCCCTCTCTGACCTCTCCCCCACATACAAAACGACAACACAGAGATGTGGGTTGCCCCGCCCTAGCGAATACCTAAGGCTGACCTTCCCCTTAAAATGTAACAGGTATGCAGAAACAAAGAAACATGGCTCAAATGAAAGAACAGATCAAAATTCCAGAAAAAGACCTAAGCGATGAGGAGATAGCCAGCCTATCATATGCGGAGTTCAAAAACTGGTAATATGGATACTCACAGAAATGATTGAGTACTGACACAAAACAGAGGAAAAAGTGAAGGCTCTGCAAAGTGAAAATAAAGAAAAATATACAAGGAACCAACAGTAAAGGGAATGAAACCGGGCTCAAATAAACGATTTGGAACAGAAAGAAGAAATAAACATTCAACCAGTACAAAGAGAAGAAACAAGAATTCAAAAAAATGAGAAAAGGTTTAGGAACCTCTGGGACAACTTTGAAAGTTCCAACATCTGAATCATAGGGGTGCAGAAGAAGAGGAAGAACAAGATATTACAAGTTTATCTGAAAAAATAATGAAGGAAAAGTTCCCCAATCTGTCCAAGGAAATAGACTTCCAGGAAGTCCAGGAAGTTCAGGAGTCCCACAGAAGTTGGACCCAAGGAGGACCACACCAAGACACATCATAAGTACATCACCCAAGATTAAAGATAAGTAGACAATCTTAAAAGCAGCAAGAGAAAAGGAGACAGTTACCTACAAAGGAGTTCCCATAAAACTATCAGCTGATTTCTCAAATGAAACGTTGCAGGCAAGAAGGAGCTGGAAAGAAGTATTCAAAGTCATGAAAGGCAAGGACCTACATCCAAAATTACTCTATCCAGCAAAAGCTGTCATTTAGAATGGAAGGGCAGATAAAGTGCTTCCTGGATAAGGTAAGTTAAAGGAGTTTATCAACACCGAGCCCTTATTACATGAAAAATTAAAGGAGTTTATCTAAGAAAAAAAAGAGGATCAAAACTATGAGCAGTAAAATGACAACAGACTCACAACTATCAACGACTGAACCTAAAAAACAAAAACAAACTAAGCAAACAACAAGAACAGCAACAGGATAACAGAAATGGAGATCAGAGGGGAGGGAGAGGGGGGGAAAATAAGGGAAAAGATACTAGGAATAAGAAGCATAACTGGTACCAAATAGGCAGGGGGAGGTTACGAATAGTATAGGAAATGGATAAGCCAAAGAACTGATATGTAGACCCATGGACATGAACTCAGGTAGGGGTGGGGGGAATGTTCAAGGAAGGGAGGGTATAGAAAAAAAATGGGACAATTTTAATAGCAAAATCAATAAAATATACTGAAAAATAAAAATTAAAAAAAAAAGGAAAGAAAAAGAAAGTGGATCACAGTAACTTTCCAAAAATTACCTACTTGGCCCTGCTAGTGTAGGTCAGTGGGTTGAGCACTGGCCTGTGATCCTAAAGGTAGTGGGTTCAATTCCCAGTCAGGGCACATGCCTGGGTTGTGGGCCAGGTCCCCAGTTGGGAAGCATGCCAAAGGCAACCAATCAATGTTTCTCTTCCTCTTTCTCCCTCCCTACCCTCTCTCTAAATAATAAATAAAATCTTTACAAATAAAAAAATAAAAATGAAAATTATTTATTTGTGACATATGCCCTGCTTACTTCCAGAAAGCACTTCAGGACATTGTTATAAAGCCAGTAAGCAACAGGACAGGTTAAAGTGTTCCTTGGGAAGTGGATGGTATATTGTAATGTATGTTACAGCATCAGTTTAGGAGGAATACACTAACATTTAAGAGCTTTAAAAGCCCAATTCATTCTAAAGGTTGAGTTTAGCTGCACACACAGCTTTGTCACTGGCCAGGTTCTGGAAATGCCTTCACTGTCACCTACTTTTACATTTCTCCTCTATCCTCTCCCAGCACCCAAAAGGGACCTCCCTTTGCCAGGTTTTGCTGCTCACCATCACCCCCACCAGAGACTGATCGGCAGGGAAGACTGAAACACCCTTGGGTCAGCAGTTTCACTTCTGCCTGCCTACAGCTTTGAAGGATGGTATTTGTGTGTATGGGGATGGGAGTATTCCTGGGTTAAAATGGTGGGTAGGTGTGAACTATTTATCCATTCTTCCACAGCATCGAGTCTACACACACAGCATACCAGACCCTGTCTTAAAAGGGTACCACTTGGACCCACAACATGAAAATCTTAAAACTAGACAGTCTCATTTTCCGTTTTGAATCCCTTCGCCACAGCACTCTTCTGCTCTAAGGCTTCCAGTGAGAATCCCAGTCTGTAGTTTTTTCACAAGGTAAGTCTAACAGTGTCAGACATCTCCCAAGTAAGTTCAAGATAAAAAGCAAAATTAGAAGAAGAAAAATGAAGAAATGTCTCATCCTTCCTGCTGTGTGCATTTTAACAGACCTTTGATGATTATCTGACTAAAGCTGTCAGCTACAAAAGTTTGTTATTACAACTTTTTAAAAATTTAGAAAAACACTCTCTTTTTAAATAACTTACACCAAAACTATTATTTCCATTACTTTTCCAATATTTTCACTACATTCATGACTTCTAAGGCTATTTATGGCCAGCCCTCACTAGTAAGAAAAATAACAGATTGGCAGATTATGAAAAATGGGTCTGGCAGGAAGGCTGAAGAAATTTTTGAGGGTTTGGGGGGGAGTGGAGAACAGGCTTGTTTTAGTTCTTTGATTGGTTTTGGCTTTTGATATTTCACATTGCTGCGTTGCCCCAAATTATAAATTGCTTACATGTAATTTAATGGTCAAAAATAGGCACTGCTTAACAATTTTTCATTTGACCCTGACTAGTGTGGCTCAGTGGGTTGGGCATCGTCTGGCAAATTGCAAATCGAAAGGTGGCACATTGGATTCCAGATCAGAGCACATGCCTGGGTTGCAAGCCAAGTTCCCAGCTGGGGTCCAGCCAGAGGCAACCTATGGATGACTCCCTCCAACATCGGTGGGTGTTTCTCTCCCTCTCTTTCTCCCCCTCTTCCCCTTTATCTAAAAATAATAAAATCTTTTTTAACAGTCTATTTAAAAATTAATTTTTCATTTGACCAACTGAGTTTTCAAAAGAAATCATCAAAGGAAAAGTTTTAACTAAACTGCTTAACTGTAATTTGAACTTCCCAGGCATTCTTTTAAAAACACCTTGACTCTAATAGGTGAAAGCGAATCAGCCATATTCGTGGTCAAAAAAAACCGCATGCTGGATGGAAATAGTCTAGCCACGGAAAAATGCCTGGGATGTGTTTATTTGGCATACACCCCCCCCCCCCCCCCACACACACCCTCTTCTTTGTCTTTTTGCTAAAGCCTGGTTAAGTTTCTCCCTCCTTCCAGAAGTGGATCCAGATCAGACTTCTACCCTGTTTATCCCTCACCCGCGAACCAGCTGTGGGTGCAGAACCACCCCGCGGATCGCTGACCGGCCTGCGCTCATCCAGCCAGCAACTACACTGGAATACCTGTAGGCACATGTGACTGAACCCCGATAAACCTAGACGATATCCTGTCGGACAATAACAGGAATACAGAAGGCGCTCCGGTTCTTCTATACCCGCACCCCACAGGCTGTCCTGCAGAGGGGCGCTAGTATTGCCCACGGGGGCCCAGTGAGAGCAGCCGGAAGGCCACCCCTCCCCAGCTCTGGCCTTGGTCCATCAGGCCCAACCAGCCTCCCCAACTCCGCAGCCTGCACGTCTGCGGGCCTCGCGGTCCCTAGGAAGGTGGGTGTGCGGCCCCCAGGGCTCCCGCCAAAGCAGTCCAGCAGCGCAGAATGATCCAGGGGAGCTTCCCCCGCCTCCCCCCCCCCCCCCCCGCCCCGCATTCCTGCCCAGACCTTCGACCACGGTCCTCTTCGCAGAAAATTTGGGGACTGAGAGCTCTTCCGCGAGCGAAACTCCCTTCCCTCTGAAAGGGGGTCGCCGGTGACCTCCGCCCGTTCCACGGAAGGCGCCTACACCGCCGGTCCGGCGCCCGGGCTCTGGTCTGCTGCGCGCCCTGTGATCTCAACACGGTGTGGGAGAAGTGGGTGTTTGCAAACCTGCCCAGTAGCTGGGCGCACTCCCCCTCACCGTCTACTGATGCCTCGCCCTGCGCACCCTCCTGTACCCCCAACACAGGCCCTCCTCCCCTGCCTCTCGCTCAGTTCCCCCACTCTGCCTGGCCTCTCCTCCAGCCCCCAGCCCCCGGCCGTACACCCCCTCTCACAGACCCCAGGTCTCTCGCACTCACCGCCTTTCCAAAGCCCTAGGACGAAGAGCCAAGGAAGCAGAAGCAGCAGCAACAGCAGCATCGGTGGCAGCGGTGCTAGCCCCATCACGGGGCCGCGGGTCAGGAAATTCTTCCCAACCTGCGGGCGGCCAGGCCAGCGGAGCTACACAGTCTGGCGCCAGACTGCAGGCGCCGGGAGTGCAACTGGGAGGTGCCGTGCTCTGGAAGGGGGCGGAACCCTGGAAGGGGAGGGACCAACGGGAGAGCACAGGGGCGGCCCTTGGGAATGAAGGGGACCTGCCGGCCAGAATCTGAGAGGAAGGAAGGGAGAACTAGAGGGACTGGAATGGAGGCCCATCGCGGGGAGGCACGGCCGAGGTGGAGATGAGAAAGGGGCCGTCTCCTGGCGCCCCGGAATCCAGCTGAGCGCCCGGGGCACCAGCCAAAGTTGTGGGGCCTGCCCAGCTTGGAGGAGCTAGCACCCCGTGTTCCCCCGGGAGGCAGAGCCGGGTGCCGGTCGAGCGCTGAATATCAACGAAAGGCTCAGAGCAGGAGTGTTAAGAGTCGGATACTGACTTCACCGCTATGTACCTGTGTGCTAACTGGTTTGACTCTGATGGAAATGAGTCAGTCCTCATTGTATGCTCTTTGGATCGTCCACTGCGCTTCTAGTGCCTGGCCCATAGAAGGCGCCCAATAGATACTTGTTCAAGGAACCTGTGAATGAATTCCACCTAACCTAATTTATAAATTCCGAGATTAGAAAGCGTACTTTTTGAATTACAGACATTTTACTTGCAGGAAACTTTTTTAAAACAATTGAGTAAATGTTCAGTCTATGGCCATACCACCCTCAACGCGCCCAATCTCACCTGAATAAATGTTCAGGGATACTTATATGAGGATGACCATCACAGAATTAAGCATAAAGCAGAAAATAATGTTAAGTCCGCTAATTAGAGCTAAAGTACATAATTTATGATGTATCAGGGTAAAAGATACTAAAGATATTTTTAAGAAAATTTTTAATATTATACTTCCAGTCAAGACGGAGGCACAGGTAGACATGCTTCGCCTCCTTGCACAACCACAAGAATCATAACTAACCTCAAACAAAAAACACCCAGAATGGCCCAAAAGTCAAACTGTATGGAAGTCTGACAACCAAGGATTTAAAAAGCCACATTCACTCAGATGGGCAGGAGGGGCAGAGTCAGGAGATTGGGCAGAGAGGACACAGTGTGGCACAGAGAGATGACAGAGGGCAGAGCTGGCAGTCTCACATTCACATGTGGTGGATAAAATTCAAGAAGTGTTCCTTCAAAGCAAGCAATCTCAGACCCAGGCCAGACTGCGCAGCCCAGGGTCCCAGTTATGGGAAGACAAAGCCTCATACTTGTGGCCGTAAAAACCATTGGGGGTTGGAGTGGCAGAAGAAACTGCCAGTTTCATTTATAGCGCCCACAGAGACTTAGAATGTTGGCAAAACCTACCCACTCTGGGAATCACCATCAGGACAACAGCTAGAAGGACACCGGTGGCATACAGGAAGTGGATTCAGTGACTGGAAATGGGGCGAGTGATGGACAAACCTCCAGAAGCCAGGCAGAGGCACTGTCCCTTCTCCAATCCCTCCCCCACATAGATACAAGCAGTGAAGCTGGTGCCCCACCCTGGTGAACACCTAAGGCTCTGCCCCATACAACTTAGCAGGTGTGCTAAGACAGGGAGTCAAAGCAGCACTACCTAATACACAGAAACAAGCACAGGGAGGCTGCCAAAGTGAGGAGATAAAGAAATATGGACCAAGTGGAAGGATAGAACAAAACCTCAGAAAAAGAACTAAATGAAATGGAGATAACCAACCTATCAGATGCAGAGCTCAAAACACTGGTGATCAGGATGCTCAGAGAACTCACTGAAGTATGGAAAAGCACAAGGGAAGAAATGAAGGCTACACAAAGTAAAATAAAGAAAAATCTACAGGGAAACAACAGTGAAGGGAAGAAAGCTGGAATTCAAATCAACAATTTCGAATATAAGAAATAAACATTCAACCAGAACAGAAAGAAGAAACAAGAATTTTTTAAAAAATGAAGAGAGTATAAGAAGACTCTGGGACAACTCCAAAAGTGCAAATATCTGAATCATAGGGGTGCCAAAAGGAGAAGAGAAAGAGCAAGAAATCAAAAATGTATTTGAAAAAATAATGGAAGAAAACGTCCTTAACTTGGCAAAGGAAATAGATATACAAGTTCAGGAGGCATAAAAACCCAAAGAGGACCACACCAAGACCCATCATAATTAAAATGCCAAAAGTTAAAGAGAGAATCATAAAAGAAGCAAGAGAAAAGGAGAGAGTTACCTACAAAGGAGTTCCCATAAAACTAACAGCTGATTTTTCAGAATAAACTTTGTAGACAAGAAGGAATTGGCAAGAAATATTCCAAGTCATGAAAAGTAAGAACCTACAACCAAGATTACTCTATTCAGCAAAGCTTTCATTTAGAATGGAAAGGCAGATATAGTGCTTCCCAAACAAGGTAAAACTAAAAGAGTTCATCATCACCAACCCATTATTACATGAAATGTGAAAGGGACTTATTTAAGAAAGAGAAGATCAAAACTATAAAAATTAAAATGACAACAAACAACTATCAACAACTGAATCTAAAAAAAACAAACTAAGCAAACATCTAGAATAGGCACAGAATCATAGATATGGAGATCATTTGGAGGATTATCAGCTGGGAGTGGAGGGAAACTTTCTATCGCAAGTGATAGCTTATCCCCTTGTCTTGTTGTTGTAAACCCCACTACTGGTCTATCCCTTTCACAGGGTCTCAACTAGGAGGGACGCTTCCAACCATCTCCCTGCTGGTTTGGTCTGCTGTTAGGGACCAGGGATGCCTGGCTCTGAGGCAGAACTTCATATTTGGTCTGCCCTCAGATTTGAGGATGCTCAGCTCTGGCCGCAGACCTCTAGGGCACTTGAGTTGGGGCCACCCTCCTCAAACCTCCGTCACCCCTCGGTTGTCCTCATCCCTGAGATATCCTTCCCTTTTCTTTGCCGTAGTTCTCACCATGGGCAATACTCAACTGATCCTGCCCAAAGACTCGCTATTGAATTGTCTAGTTAAGAGCTTGAAGCCTTTAGGACTCACTGACCTCAAGTCTGAACACTTGTTTTCTGTTGTGACATGGCCTGGCCTCAATACAAACTAGGTGACCAGGAAATCTGGGCCATGAATTAATCTCTTAACTATAATGCTATCCTCTGTCACGTGACTCTTCAACACCCCTTGCATCTCCTCTCCCTAATTCTCCTCCTGAAAACCTGGGAGCTGCTAAATTCTGGGAAAAACTGGTCCTGCATCTCAGTGTAGACAAAAAGAGTGGCATTTTAAACTCAAGCTGCTTTTCCACCCCTTTGCCCGATGAAACCGAAGTCCTTCTAGGGGAAGCTTGCCTTTCCTTCCCTTCCTTTTTGAAGTGCAAACACCTGGCCTTCTTCAAGAGCTCTTGTCTAGGCCATTTTTAAAACACAAATTTTGGGGAGATGATTCTTATCAAAAGAGGGAAAACCTTAGCTATATCTGAGCCAATTTATTTTATTTCAGCTATTCCTTTCTAAATTAGTAAGTTCTGATAAAAGTTATGGAAAGTCTAAGTATTTTGAAATAAAACATGAAATACCAGAACACAGATTGCTAGACCTACTTTTGGCTTTTTAACTACAAAGAGGCTGTGAAGTGAATCTGGAGCTATAGGTAAATGTCTTGTACTTTCTTGGAGGTGTGTTTCTTGAAAGTGAGAGTGTGTTTGCCAACAGAGAAAGCTGTTTCTAATGGTCATGAGATGTGCTCATAAATCAATCTAAGGAATGCCTATTGCTTACTTTTTAACCATTATGGGAAATTAAGGCTTCTAAAAGTTAAGTTCAAATTACATTGGAAGGAAATTGTATGGTTTTAATAACAGAAGGCATAAGGCATGAAAAGGCAATTTTAAAGGACAGGGGTTGAAAGTGAATTATTCTAAAGATGGTTGTCTCTAAAGGGATCTTCATAAACTTTTCTTTTTCAGAAAGAAATTTTGTGAAAATTGAAGACAGTTTTGCGAAGGCTGTGAAAGTTTTAAATTTGTGAAGAAAGCAAGCTCAGGCTCCAGTACTCCTTCCTCCACCTAATCCCTCTCTGGTGATATGCTTTGATGACTCCGGTGGTATCTGGAGTTGTTTCTATTACACTTTCTCTTGTCGTCATCCATGTGGGGAATAAATCCTGTCAGCTGTGGAAAAATCCTTCATCAAAATGTGCTTTGTCAATGTTGAGATAGAAGGTAAGCCTACCCTCTGGACATGGAGTCACCCTATATGACTGTCCCCAGGTGACAACTGCGACACAGGGTCCATTGAGTTGGGAACTGATCACCCCTGATGTTTGAAGGGACCTATTCCTTCCCCTTTGTTTGGTGCTCTGGTCATTGGTATGGCCACCCTCAGGGCATGGGGTAAACACATCCACAGGCAGGAGGGGAGCTGAGTCCCCTGTCTGAGTAGAGTAAATCCATTCCCAGGGCATATGGCTAGTACCCTGGCCACTGGTAAGGCCACCCTCAGGGCATGGGGTAAACACTTCCACAGGTCAAATGGACTCTCTCTCTCTCTCCAACATGCTTTCTCTCCCTCTGCCTGTGTGGCTATCTCAAATGGGCTTTCTATTGAGTGGGTTACATCCACTTCCAGGGCATCTGGGTGATGCGCTCGTCATTGGTAACGTCACCCTCAGACACAGGAAACACATCAGTCTCTTTCTATTCCTCAGCTGGTGTGGACTGTAACTCCCTGTCCTCCATCTGAAGCATATACCTATCTTCTGTCTCCAGGTTTCTGACCTTTCAGGGGGCCAAAGCAGCCGTGCCCTGCTGCTGGGCTTAACTATTTTCCCCACTCATTAACAGTCCTTAAAGCTTTTATTGAGAGTCTCAACAGGTCTTCTTGCTTGGTATTTAGGACCTTCCATCCCTTTCCCAGTCTTCTTGAAAGTAGTCAAAGCAAATCAGAAATCATATACTTTCTCTACCAAAATTAGTAATTCAAATTATGTGTATGGTCTTCTTGTGTTCAGTCTTCATGTGTGTGGTCTTTATGTGACATGTATCTATCTGTGTGTTCCAT